TTCGCCGGGAGACACATGATCGGCATGATCCTGTTCTCGACATTCTCGAGTTGTCCTCGACTCAAGGCTGTTGGTGTGCGGCTTCTCGTGGTCTTTATTCCAGGTGTTACAATTACCGTGGCCTGCTCTCCCGAGTCCTCCAATCTTGGGATGGAGGAAGCCGAGCCCTCTCTTAGAACTTTCTGGCCTTCGTTGTCTACTCTTCTGTGCTTCCCGGGGGTGCCTCCTGGGATTCTGCCTCCAAAAGAGGCGGATCCGGGCCGGTCGGCACCTGAGAGCGGCTGACTGGTACTCGAGTCACCTCCGAAGCCCTCTTGCGGGTTCCCTTGGCCCCCTCCTGGGAAGAGGCAAGTTGGGCGAAGTGTGCTCTGCATGCCTTGGTAAGGTTGAAAGCCGCCCACATAACTCGGCCGAGCCAATGGGGGGAAGATTCCAGATGGTTGGACTGTTGGGAGAATACCGCCTGACTGGGCTGGCGCCATTTCTTGAAATAACTGAGCCAGGTACGCGTTGGATTGCGAGAATTGAGTAGTCCCCATAAAGGCTGGATTCTGGTAAACATTCGTGAAGCTCGTTTTTGGAACATGGTTAACTGCTCCGCCTACGGCCGATGCAGTTGGTAGACCAATACCTCCACCTCTACCCAGTGGGCCTTGATATACTTGACGGGATGACGCCTCTTGAGTCGGATCTGCTCTGCCGCCTTGACCACTGATATTGCCTTGCTGCTGACGTGGACGACCTCCCCTTCTACATTCCTCTGCCGAGTGGAAGAACGCGAGGCACTTGCAGCAACGTGGGGTGTCCGATGATGCCAGCTTGACCACCAACTCATCGCCCTCGAAAGTTTCGACGGTGATCGAATCCTTCATGTTTGCTATGGCTCCCGGATCCAGATAGAATTTAATATCAACCAAAGTCGGTTTTAACCGATCCTGCTCCGGCGGGTGCGTCATCGTGACCGGACCAATGACATGTCGTATGTGCGATTCTAGGTAAAACATGGCGTCTAAGGGAACTTGGACAGCTATGACCCAAAATGTCAAAAGTTCATCCAGTCGTCGCTGTTCCCTCAACTGCCCATAGATTAGCCAAGGCTTGAACTCCAGCTTGTAAATCTCGCCCGCCAGTTCCACCTCGGCAATTCTTTTGTCCACCAGCCACGCACAAATCGTCGTGCTCTTTGCAACATACGAAGCCATATTAAGACTCTCCACCTTCACTCTCCCTCTGCTAAAGCCCTCGCCGAAGTCGCCTACCTGAACTCTTACGTCTTCAAAGGCCCTGATAAGATCCTCCTTCACATTCCTTGGGAGGAAGCGAGCTGCGTCTCTGAAGATCACCGTGACCGTCCGCTCCTTAAGCCACTGAACCTTCAGCCTGTCTATGGAGTCCTTAACCTTAAATCTAACGTTACGACCTTGTGTCGTCATTTCCCCGGGGTCAATATCCCTGGGGAGAATGCCTTCCTCATAGCACAGGCAAAGGAGCTCTCTGACTCTTGTGTCGTCAATTTCATGATCCCCCAGGGCAGGGGAAGGAGATCTATTCTCCATCCCTACGTCTATTCCGGGATCCATGAGTGCAGCAACGGTCACTTGACCTTAAAACGAATATGAAAATAACGAAGGAAGCGAGGGAAGGATCAGAGGTGACGAGAGAACTCGAACATGAGAGATTCAACCGGTATTCCATTAACTAGGCATTGTGAGCGGACAGGGTGTCTGCCCAACTTAACAACAGGACACGAGAAGAAAGGATGAGACTGCAGATAATGACGTAAGATGATGATGATGAAAGAGGGGAAGAACTTGCTAGGACACGTGGCGTCAAAGCTAGCAGGGGAATTGGCTTTCGTCAACTTCCCTGTTACCGCTTCGAAGAGCGGACTAGGTGACCTCACTTCCATACCGCCGTCCTGATGGCAAAGGGAGCTGTTGCCCTGGGTTTTCCGTTACCGGCCGAACAGCGCTTGGTCCGAGCGCAAATTAGCGCCGGGGGAAGCGCTACGGCCCTTCCCCAAGTTCGATCACGATAAACTTTCTCCCCCTCTTCAGTGACCGGTATATGCTTCCCCCCATTTTTTTCATAACTGATATGGAGTTACAGTCCTCCTAAAAATTAAAAATTTTACACAGGTAACTGAGGTAAGTTTCTTTTTTCTTCTTATTTTCTTTTTCTTTTTCTTTTTCTTCTTCGCAGTTTTTTTTTTTCTTCTTTTTTTCATTTTCTTTGCTGTTTTCTTCTTCTTCTTTGCTGTTTTTTCCTTTCTTATTTTGCTTCTTGTTCTTACTCGCTATT